ACGTCAGTCTTTAAATACTGCTCTATTTAAAGTAGTCGTCTAACGTTTGTGGGTGGGAGATGACAAAACTGGACTGAGTTGAAAATCCCTTGCAGTGTGATTCTGCCCGGGTTAGCAGCTGCATGTCCCTTCTGTGAGGACAGCTAGGTTGTGTTCACCCCCACTGTTCACAACAGTGGGGGGCACCTGTTGTGGTCCTGGGGTGTGGGGCAGGGCTGAGAAGCAAAAGGAAACAGTGAAGATCACACACAGTCTGTTGAACACTGACTCCCAGGACCCTCTGAGGCCAGAGTGCAGCCTGTTAGCAGGCTGGATGTACAGAGCTGAGCACCCCAAATGAGAAGGGGGTTGTTATCAGCCACGTCCTCAACTTGCTGGGAGCCCCACTTATGGTTCAGACTGTTTACCTTCTTAGAATAACTTGGCAGGGCCCTCTGGAAGAGTTGCCCTTAGCACTGTAGACCGATGTACATGGTGTCTCATCTTTGTTTCCACTTCAGGCCGTGGGTGCTCCCATTCCTTCCGAGTCCAGCTGCTCCACTGACTTGAGTCTAGCCTGGACCTTTGCCTCAGTCTCCCGCCTGGGTCTCTCTCCACTTTTGTAGTCCCATAGTGCATTCTCTACCAAAGTAGGGTACTCTTTAAGACAATAATCACATTTCCTGTGCCCGTGCCCACTTGTGGCTTATTTGTCTTTGGATGAAAGACTAAACCTTTATATTTGCGTCCTGAACACCCGGTCATCCAGCCTCAGTTAGTGCCTCCTCTCCTGCTCCTTCCCAAAATGCTGGCCTTTCTCTTGCTCACACCTGTCAAGCTCTTCTGTTGCAAGGGCCACTCAACCTGCTGTTGCCTTTGCCACACCTCTGCCCTGCATTGCCTGGCAACTCTCCCAAGCTCTCAGACCTCAGTTGAGGACATTCCCTCCTTTATCAGAAGCTTCCCTGCCTGGCCTCCTCATTGAATAAACACCTTTTTTTCTGTGTCTTGAAGTTCTACCATAATTATCTTGTTTGTACATTTCTAAAGTAGGGTTGGTCGTTATCAAATATGACAAAGATGTCAGTGTGTCAAACTGTTACAAAGATTTCCACATTTTCCATTCCAACCCTTGTCTTGTCTTGCCTGTTAGTAGCCGGCAGTTGAGGAACTAGAGCAGTCGGTGACTAACATGGTCCATGATTGGTTGTTTGAGCGGCAACCTTGCTCCACTGAACTGAACGCCAAACAGCTCTACAGCTTGTTTTGTGTCTGTCTCAATAGATTGTGGGCCCCGTGATGGCAGAGGTTTTGCCTCAGCTCCATCACCTGTGCCGTCACAATGCCAAGATCTCTGTTAGTATGTGCTAGACCTCGAGGAATGCCCCGTGGATGGCAGAAAATCTCACGGGTGGCTCAGGCCACCCATCCCTTCTCCCTCATCTCCACATCCAGTATGTGTCACTGTCCCTGTGGTTAGTATAAAGCGATCCCAGTCTCCACTATACTGTTAATATAGTCAGCATTATGATATGTATCACATCCATATATAAATTTATTATAATACAGTCAAGAAGAATAAACTGCTGAGTCAACTTGACGGGTGGCTTGATCAGGTAGCTTTAACACCTCGCATCTGTCTCTGTCTTTGAAGCGGCATAGTGTTCCCTTCCCTAATTAAATGGGGCCACACTCTTGGACACTGATCTCCAAACTGTCGCTACTGTGTGGATTATATAAAAGCCACAGTTTCCTCCTTCACCCTTGGTGAGCCAGCTGGGGTCAGCAAACTGTGCAGGGCCACATAGTAAGCGCTTTTGTCAACACAGTCCTGTAGCATTTCCCCGTCTTCAGTTCACTCTTTCTCCTTCCTTCCTTTGTTTTCTCTCTTTCTTTTCTTTTCCTTCTCCTCCCCTCTCTTCCTCCTTTTTTCTTTCCCTCGAGTACTGGAGATCAAACCCAGGGTCTCGAATGCTAGGCAAGTGCTCTACTAGTGAGCAACGCCCACCTATCCAGCCCTTTGTCCAAACCCTTTAAAACATAAAGGAGCTGGGTAGCTGCCCAGAGGGTAAAGTCGTGCCACACAACCATGAGTTCATTTTTCAGCACCTGTATAAAGAGCCGGGCATTGCAGTACACACCAAGAATCCCAGCGCTGGTGAGGCAGGAGGATGCGTCCATCTTGTCGGCCAGACGGTCTAGCTGATTGACAAGCTTCAAGTTCGTTGAGATACACTGTCTTCAGAAAATGAGATGGAGAGCAATTGAGGAATTGAGGAAGACACCCAGTGTTGACCTCTGATCTCTACCCATGTTATTGTGTGACAAAACTTTTCCGGGGAGAAGCAACATTCATTTCTACTCACAGTAGACCAGAGTATGGACACCACCAATGTCCAGTTGGGTGAACCCTGAGTTTCATTGGGGTTATTTACAGGAGCAGAAATGACCCAAAGACAGCTGCTTCACCAAAGCCCACCCCAGCATGGGTGACAGCTCACAGAGCTGGGTACCAGGAGCACCCTGCACAGCCTGCAGGAAGCTCGACAGCTTAGGGTATCTTTTCCAGGTGCCTCAGTTGGTCTCAACCTATTCCAAGCAGTGTGGCTGATTTCTCCTTCTTTCGGGCAGCTGGTCTGGTCTAGGAATCTATGCAGCTCAGCTTGTTGTGAGTCTTGGCAGCTGGGCTCCTCTGAGATTCTTCTCTGTAGCTTGACTCTGCTTGCACGGGAAGGAACGGGGCTTAGTGAATCTCGTCAGCTTCAGGGACTTCCTGAGGAATTTTTGAGTTTATCTTCCTGTTTAAAGAGCTTCCCTGAAGGATGCAATGTTTTAATCTAGGAGGAAACTGTTATACAACACACAGACATGTAGTACGTGTCCACACACACATACATGCACAATATTAATACACAAACATATGCACGCTCGTGCGCGCGCGCACACACACACACACACACACACACACACACCCCTTTCTTAACTGAAGGACCTTGCAAAAACAGAGCAGGGCCAAACCAGTCTGATTCTGAGCAGGGTCTGACTCTGTAGCCCAGAGATGAGCAGAGTTTGCCCATCCATAGCAATAAATAGCTGACAGTCATATTGTGAGGGACTCAGTTTTAGTTTGTTTGAATTATGTTTGTTGAATTACAAAACCCTTGTTAATCACTATATTCATATGCAGCATTCTTCTCTTTTGAAGTCATAAACATTAATGGGTTTTGGTACCACTTCTCTCAGCGTGAGATCGCAGTAGGAGAACCCAGACTTATCTGTCCACTTAAAATAGCACTTGGAGACTGAATGGGCCCCGGTAGCTTAAGCTGTATCCAGAAGTGGACTAAAAGGAATGCTGTGTTTTGCCATCTAGCACATCACGTGCTCAGTTATTTCCTGGCCTCCCCCGGCTGCTCATCTCTGTAGACAGCTGATGAAGCCCACTGAACATAGCTCCAGTACAGTTACACCTGCTTCCTTTCTAATGACACTCAGACGTGAATTATGGGGACAAGATTTTTACAATGTTCTAAGCTACTTAGGTAAATGAAGACAGGAGAGGGTAATGGGGTTCAGTGACTAGTTTAACGTGCATTATATGCTTGTATGAAGAAGCCACGGTGAAATCCAGTATTCTGTACAACCAGTATGTGCTAGCTAAAACTGTGACTCTGCATTACAGGGTACAACTGACTGCAAGGATGAGGCCTTCATCCCCAAGGTCTCCCGACTTCCTGCAGCCCCTTTCCTTTTCCTATAAACCATGATTGTTGACATTCTTACCCAGCACCACTTCCATTCTTCTAAATATCTAAATAACTTTCAATTGCCCATTTTAGTGAAGTTCTGTGATGAGAGGTTTTAGATAATATGATAAAGCAAAGTCATTGAAATACTGCCTAAATTTTCTCCTAAATTTGGCCTGGGGGCTTTAAGCTGACCCCTTGGGACTTTATAAATAAAGTCTAAGGATATTACTAAGCTGTATGGTACAGTGTGTTTATTAAGAGCATAGATCAGAAGCCAGCTTTACCCCTAGCTGTATAATGTTGGATAGTTTTCCAACCACTTCAAGATCTAGCTGTCTTTTATGGAATTCAGCCTCTTAAAAGACTCTGCTCCGGCTGGAGACTTGGCTCAGTGGGCAAAGGCACTTGTCTCCACCAAGCCTGATGATTTGAGTTCCAGTGCTGTGGGATTCTCTCTCTCTCTCTCTCCCTCTCTCTCTCTCTCATAGATGGAAGTTTATGTCCTACCCGGTCTCGCAGCCGTTCCAAGGAAACACACAGAGGCTTCTATTAATTATCAACTATTTCTCCTCTTAGCTCAGGCTTATTAATAACTAACTTAAATTAACCCATAATTCTTATCTATGGTTAGCCACATGGCTTGGTACCTTTTCTCAGTAAGGCATTCCCATCTTGCTTCCTCTACTTCTGACTGGCGACTGCATCTCTGCCTTTCCTCTTCCCAGTATTCTCTTAGTCTGGTCATCCTACCTATACTTCCTGCCTGGCTGCTGGGCATTCAGTGTTTTTTTAAACCAATACTAGTGACACATTTTCACAGTGTACAAGAGTATTATCCCACAGTGCGCGCGCACATACATACACACACACACACACACACACACACACACACACACACTCAAACACAGGCTGGGGACGGAGGAAGGATAAAAGAATCTTCTCTAAAGGTGAAACTTTAATAAGTTGATACTTGCCCTGTAAGCATTAGTTGAGGTGGTGCCGTGTAAGAGTCAGTTGTTAATTATCAAGGGGAAAGTTATATTTTGTTTGGTTATTGAAATAGGATGTCCTTCTGTAGCCCATGCCAGTCTGGAAATACCTATATAGCATAGAACACACACACATTCTCTCTGTCTCTCCTCTCTCTCTGAAGTCACTGGTCCTCCTGAATGAATTACAGGCAACCTCCTGAGCCATCCACCTTCAGAAGTAACATAACACATGGAATATTTTATATTTGATTTGCCTTTTGTCCTTTTTAATTCTCTGCAGGCTTTTGTGGAGGCACAGAACAAGATCACGGTGCCGTTTCTTGAGCAGTGTCCAATCCGAGGTTTATACAAGGAGAGAATGACTGAACTGTATGACTACCCCAAGTACAGCTGCCACTTCAAGAAAGGAAAGCGGTATGTGAGGGTGCTTGCATGCCTCCCCTTTTCACTTTCCAGCTTGGTGTTTCTCTCTCTCTCTCTCTCTCTCTCTCTCTCTCTCTCTCTCTCTTTCTCTTTTTCTATGTGTGTGTGTATGTCTGTGTGTGTGATATGTGTATGCATTGGTGTGTGGGAGAGAGAAGGAATGTGCACACGCCAGAGGCTGACATTAAGTTTCTTCCTTGATTGCTTTTCACCCTTCCTTTTGTTTTCCTTGAGACAGGGTCTCTACATAACTCTGACTGTTCTGGGATTCACTGTGTAGGCCAGACTGGCCACAAACTCACAGAGATCCGCCTGCCTCTGCATCCTGGGGGCTGGGAGTAAAGTTGTTTACCACAACTCCCTGCCTCTACCCATACTGAGGGACAGGGTCCCTTTCACACCTTGGAGTTGACCAGTGCTGGGTTATGACCTGAACCCTAGTGCCTAGCTTTTATGTCAGTGTTGAAGATTCCAGCTCAGGTCTTCATGCAGTAAGCACTTTCCACACTCAGCCATCTCTACATCTCTACAGCTCCCATGAATGCTTTAATGGCCAAGTACATATCAGGTGTGGTGACGCAGGGCTTTAATCCGAGCACTTGGGAGGCAGACGCAAGTGGATCCCTGTGATTTCCAGACCGTAGCTACATAGTGACGCCATGTGTCAAACAAATGAAGTGTGCCTTTGCACTAACTTACCAGTTTATAAAAGGAAGTGATTGTTGTTGTTTGAACCTGAGAATAGTTTTTGTACTGAGAAGTGCTGTTCATTCATATTTATATAATAGCAGTTAAGATACTTGGCAGTGATATAGCCTGTGAAAGTAGGTTATGGAGAATCCTCATTTTTGTGGTTAGTTGGTGAGCCTGTGTTTCATAAACAATGGGGGAGATTTGGTTCCACCTAACATTATCTTTGGATTGTAGTTCCTGAGAACATTTTATTATATGTACGTTTTTCAATCCAAGAATGGGCCACAAAGTGGAGCCTGCGAATTTAGCCCTCCGGTTGATCTCTTTCTCGCAGCCACTTGAACATGACCTATTGTTCTTTGGATGCACCTTCCCACGTTTACTCTGGAATTTCTTAGGGCCTCCCCATCTCATGCAGATAGCAGCAAAGTAGAGCCAGTGTGCCAAGCCCTGCTACCACCTGCCTTTATAATTAACTCTAACGGAACATAGTCCTGCCCATTTGTTTGGTTGTTTGGTGAGCGGGGTGACTTTGTGGCCCACAGAGTCTGAACGCACAGGCCCTTCTCTCTGTAGAAGTGCGATGACCTTCACACCTGGGGGCCAGCCAGGCTGTGGAAGCGGGCCAGGGTGCTACAGTGGGAAATCTGCTTTCTTCTCCATTTAGAAGAAGTAGGCATGGCTGTATTTGACTGCCAGTGTTATTTTTAGCAGACTGGTCTTCATTTGTCGCTAGCTCACATGCCAAACTACAGTAAATTATTTGCATACAGAAAGAAAGCTGCTCAAGTAACAAGCTGCCACCTAGGAAGCCGGAGGGACTTCCACCTCATCTGCTGTCTCTGTCTCGGCTTGATGGCACCTATTTCTTTCTGTGTGTGGTCTTGTGAAATTTGCTTCTTCATGTGTTTGATTCTTCTCCACAAACGGAAAATACCACAGCTAAATACAGGGAATTTCTGTCCCCAGGTATTTTTATTTTTACAATACAGGTTTGCAGAACCAGCGTGTACTGTATGTACAGGACTCCTTAGAGGGGGAAGCCAGGGTGTTCCTCGACCCCAACACCCTGTCGGATGACGGCACAGTAGCACTCCGAGGTAAGTGCTGCACCCTGGCCCTCGGGAGTCCTTGCGGCGCCACTTGGAGCTCTGAAGTCTTGAGATTCCAAGCTGGGTGTGAGCCATATTGTAGAGCAGATGCACACAGTATCGGGAAAGCTAACTTTGCATACTGTATTTAGAACACATGGATAGTCACATTCATCTTTCTCACCCCGATGGCATGAAACAGAACTGAAGAATAAGTCACACTAGACCCAAACTCCCTTCTGGGATGTTGAACTAGCGTTATCGTTTCCCATAGCATCTGAGACCCATCTGACTAGAAACACTTAGACCCTCTTGCAAGAAACTCCCAGCTGTGCAAGGAATGTTCAGCTATAAACGGGGGAGAGTGATCAGAGTATTAAAACCTAGGTAGTTCACAGTTAGAATTAAAAGTAAAAACCCCCAGTTTTGTGGAATTGAACCTCTTGGTACCCCGTCTCTGAAGATGTTACCATACAACCCGAATCTAAGTGCGTCTTGCCTGCCGGTGCCCCGTGTCTGCAATAACTGCTCCCAGTGTTGCCTCCTGCAGGCTGTAGAGAAGATAAACCTTGGTTTGTGCTATGAGTGGATTTTTAGGATAAGGAAAAAGTGGGTTGTTCTAGAGTCCTATGGTTTAGTAATTTCATGGTTAAATTACTCCTTGACATGCCAACTGTTCCTAATGAGGCGGGCTCAGTGTCTCTCTTATATTGTCCAATGGCCAAAGCACAGTGCAGGTTAACTCTCTAGAACTGTGAAATTTGAACAGTGGTGTCTGCCGCTTAGAGGGAAAGGAATGACAGACCCATTTCACTGGATCCATCCAAAGACCTTTATGCAGGTATTTCCTGCCGTTTCTAGCTGTGCCTCTGTTACTTGGTGGTCCTCTTCATTCCTCCCAAATAAGCTTAGTGTATAAACTGTTTTGGAAGTGAGGCACCAACTATCTTTGTAAGAGTATATTAGTATTTCCATGAGTCTGAGTCTGTGGTTTAGAAATAATTTAATGCTATGGTTCCGAGGTAGTCATGTATCCTGTATTAGAATCTGTGTAGTTTTCACTGAAGTCTGCCTTACAGCCCATCTGGGAGGGCTGTGTCCAGTACCTCTCATCCCCGTGTTGCAGGGCAATGGTTTCTTTAGGTGTCTCCTGCAAACCAGGACATGATTGACACAAAGGTGAATTAGGCCCGAGACCTGGTATATGATTCCTTACGTGTGATTTTAATCAAAATAACTTTTTTTCCTTTTTCCCTGAAAATTTTCAATAAGTATGTTAGCAGATTTTAAAGTAATTTCCTACTAATTAAAGCTCCATGGTAATAATTGAGCCTCCTATAAATTTTAGATCCTCAATAAAGTTTAGCAAGCTTCCCAGGAAATCCCTGGAATCTGAATCTTCCTCTACGAGGATAACTTGAGAACATGAACTATAAAAGCCAACATGAAGCATGACCACTTCTCAAGAAACTTTCGCAGATTGGATGGGAACCTTGTTGGATCCCCAAGGACCTAGACCTGGCATGGCAGCCACCGACAGCTGCTTTCTGCTTCTTTCGGAATGTGAACACCAGGATCCTTCCTTGCAAACCCTCCAGCTATATTCACCTGGGCCTGTGATGTCATGGTGCCAGTAATGCTCCGAAATGAGGCTATAAAGACTGATCTCAAATGCTTTGGAGTCCATCCCAAAAGTTACTTAATGAGTACAATTTAATTCTGTTATAAGCTATGTATCATAATTTAGTCCGTACTATAAAGGCAGATTTCCCCCTACTTATACCCTTTAGGGCATAAATAAAATATGCTGCTAGTCCCAGATGAGCTCTGCTTTTAACTGAGCTACCCATTGAATTATAAAAATTTCAAAATGGAAGTATCTTAATGGGCCTATACTCCAAGGCATCATTTTATAAAGGAAGAAAGTATGACCTAAGGAGGTTAAGGGACCATGTCATTGTAATGGTAATTCCTTCCAGACGACAGCCGAGCCCAGGTTTGCTCAGTACTAGCTTCCTATTTCCTCCATTGCCACGTTCAGTCTCTGGGCTATTTCAGGCAGCTTTGGTAGTGTGGACGACGACAGTGGGCAAGATGAACAGTTAAATGTCACATCTGACTCTCTCTGGGCCCCGTAGGTTATGCCTTCAGTGAAGACGGTGAATACTTTGCCTATGGTCTGAGTGCCAGTGGCTCAGACTGGGTGACGATCAAGTTCATGAAAGTCGACGGTGCCAAAGAGCTTCCTGACGTGCTGGAGAGAGTCAAGTTCACCTGTATGGCCTGGACCCATGATGGCAAGGGGATGTTCTACAACTCATACCCGCAGCAGGATGGGAAGAGTGACGGTATGTGGACGCTTCAGGGACGCGTGTTATACGAGACCTCGTGGCTTCTTAATGGCTGAAAAGGAAGCTCATTTGATTGCCATTGTGTGTCTAACCTGTTCACATTGCAGCAGCATTGCTGTCCACAAATACACGCAATCAAGTTACCAAGCATACTCTTTAAAAATCTCACATTGTTCATTATTGTATATTTGGCTCCATTCATTGACTACATGCGGCCCCGGGTGCAGTGGCAGCCTGGAGGCTGCAGGTAGGTTAGTCATTGTGATTGGTTTTAAAAGGCCGTGTCTCATAGCTGTTATTTTGCTGTTCCTTTTTTATTTTATTTTATTTTATTTTTTGGTGCGGTATGTAAAAGTCTCTCAGACTATAGTGGAGGGATTTATGCTTGACATAAACAGTTCATGTTGTGCTTCCTGCCAGTGTTCCTTAGAGAGTGAGTGTCCTTAAAGACTATAAAGCATTTTTTTACATTTTGGTAATATTATTTATTGCCCTGATAGCTTAGTACGTTTTCACAATGAGAAGATAAAGTTTAGTCTCTAAATAGTCTTTAAAATCAGCAAATATCCATAAATTACTTTATGGTGATAGGCAGCTAGTGCCTAACATTTTTTAATGCGTTAATTCATAGCAGAATTAAAAAGTACATGAATTTATCTTTGGTGTTTTTACCAGAGTGAGGAATAATTGATAACTTATAATTAGCAAACCTGCAGTAACACATCATCATTTTTACTCAGAGTCTGTAGTTTATATTAGGTTTAATTTGTTGTTGTTGGATTTTTAAGGCGATCTTTCTCTATGTAACCCTGGTTGTCCTGGAACTCGCTCTGTGGACCAGGCTGGCCGCAAACTCACAGAGATCCACCTGCCTCTGCCTCCTGTGTGCTGGGATTAAAGGCGTGTGCCACCACTCCTGGGTTAGGTGCACTCTTGACATTGTACATCCTGTATGTGTTACGGCATGTTATGGCATGTTACGGCATGTTATGGCATGTCCCCTGTGCAGTGTTGCGGGAATGATTTTCCTCGCCTCGAAAGTATTTTGTACTTTAGTTCTTTCTCCCTTCCCTGGTGCCTGGCGGCCCCTGATCTTTATTTTTTTTTTTTTCCTTTTCAGACAGAGTTTCACTGTGTTGCCCAAATTGATCTTGAACTTACATCTTTCTGTCTTAGCCGAGAGGTACAGAAGACACAGGCTTGTGCCTCCGTGCTGGGCACCTGGGCCTTTTCTGTCCGATTTAGTTCCATAGGTGGCGCTGTACAGAATATAGCCTCTGCAAATCAGCTCCTGTTCTTAATTCTTTCTTCCATATGCCATGATTCTTACCATTTTTACCTTTTTTTTTTTTTTAATTTTTCAAAACAGGGTTTCTCAGTGTAGCTTTGGCTATTGTGTTAGGGTTTACTATTGTGATGAGACACCATGACTATGGCAACTCTTATAAAGAAAATATTTAGTTGAGGGGGCTCGCTTCCAGGTTCAGAGGTTCAGTCCATTTTGATCATGAAGGGGAGCAGCATGCAGGCAGACATGCTGGAACTGAGAGTGTCACACTGAGGGAATCTTTAAGCGAGAGACCTCAAAGTCCGCCCCCATAGTGACACACTTCCTCCACACCTCCTAGTAGAGCCACTCCCTTTGGGGGCCATTTTCTTTTAAGCCACCACAGCTGTCCTGGAACTCACTCTGTAGACCGGGCTGAACTCGAACTCAGAGATCTGCCTGCCTTTCGAATGCTGGAACCAAAGGCACGCACCACCATGCCTGCCTGTCTCGTTCCCTTTTCCTGGGTGGTTTCCTTGTTTCAGCCGCTATGTGCCAAGTTGCTATCATAGGTAGATCTCTGTGCGGGCATTTTTGATGAGTGCCAAGTAACACAGCTACCAGATCTTATGGTGAGAAACTGCAGAACCATCTTCCTCCAAAGCCTGTGGCATTTGTGAGAACTCCTGACTGCCCACCAGTGTCTGAGTGTGCTCAGGGTCGGGTAGCTCAGTAGTAGGTACCTCTTGTTGGTTCAGACTGCTGTCCCAGATGGCAGCAAGTCTTGAGGTTGTACAGCATCAGTCCCCCCAACCTTGTTCTTCATAGTTATTTTGAATCATCATGTTCCTCCACGTATACTTTGGAATCAATTTGTTCATGTCTTAGTTTGGGTTCTGTTGCTGGGATAAAGACCATGACCAAAAGCAATTTGGGGGAGGACAGGGTTTATTTCACCTAAACATTTCAGGGTGGCACTTCATCATTGAGAGAAGTCAGGACAGGAACTCAGACAGGAACTGAAGCAGAAACCACGGAGAAATGCTGCTTACTAGCTTGCCCCTCCTTTTGCTTTCTTGTGTACTCCAGGCCCCAAGGGTAGCACTACCACAATGGGCTGGACCTTCCCACATTGTCAATCAAGAAAATGCCGTCTTCAGATTGCCTGTGGGCATTTTTGAAATTGAGGTTCCTTTCTTCAGATAACTTGAGATTGTGACAAGGTGACAAGAAAACAAACAAACGACACCACCAGGACGGTCCCTATCCACGGCTTACTCTACTGGACTCTGTACTTGCTTCTGAGTCAGATCCAGAGAAACCCATATGCTGATCGTCCTGAGCCTTCTGCTCCGTGAGCGTGGAGTTTCTCTGTGTGTTAGTTATTTTAGTTCTTTGGAATGGTTTATAGTTTTCCTTATATAGACCTTGTACATACTTTGCTAGATTTATAGTGAGTTTGCTGGTTGCTATGGTAGCAGTTCCTCATTTGTTGCTGGTGTGTAGGAGCGTGACTGGCTTGCCTGTTAACCTTGTGTCCTGCCGCCATACACTCCACCTTTGAAGTGTTCTTAGCATTATGCGATGGACGTAGTGGAGATTTTTTTGAAACTGCCAACCGTATTTCAGCGACCATGTTTTATTCCTCAGGAACAGAGACATCCACCAATCTCCACCAGAAGCTCTGCTACCACGTCTTGGGGACAGATCAGTCAGAAGATGTTTTGTGTGCTGAGTTCCCCGACGAGCCCAAATGGATGGGGGGAGCCGAGGTATTGTATACTGCAAAATTTTATCCTCAAAGACCTTGTTGCATGGTTCACATATGAATATTCCTGTGATGTGGTAGTAGATGTCCCATAGATGGCAGAAGTACAGGAATGTTTTTAAAATAGTGCCATTCAAATTGATTATTAATAATGAAGGTGGTAAACCTTTTAACTGTTAATTTCAACATTAAAATCTTTTCTTATTATTTTATTCTTCTTACATATATTACATCCCAAGTGTGGTTTTCCTCCCTTCGTCCCAGTATCTCCCCCCGCCCCTCAGAAAAGAATAGACCTCCCAGGACATCAACCAAATATGGCATACTCTGCTACCATAATATCAGGCACAAGCTTCATATCAAGGCTAGGCGAGGCGACCCAGTAGGATGAAAAGGGTCCCACAAACAGCCAGAAGTGTCAGAGACAGCCTGCGTTTCCACTGTTAGGGATGCCACAAGAGCAGCAAGTTACTCAGCCATAACATACATGTGGAGGACCTAGGTCAGACCCCTGCAGGCTCTCCGATCTTTTCTAGCCCCATGAATCCCAGCCAGTTGATTCTGTGGGCCGTGTTCTCCTGGTGTCCCTGACCCCTCTAGTCCTCCTATCCTTCCCCCCTCCTCCTCTGCAGGACGCCCTGAGCTCTGCCTAATGTTTGGCTGTGGGTCTCTGCCTCTGCTCCCGTCAGTTGCTGGATGAAGTCTTTCTGGCCTCTTTGATAACGATTCTTCTCGGCTCTGGTTCCAAAGCACTGCAGGGAGGATGCACTGTAGGGTGAAGGCTTTGTGGCTGGCTTGGTGTCCCAGTTCCTCTACTTGAGGCCTTGCCTGGTACAGAAGATGGCCGGCGGTTCAGGCTCCGTATCCCCCGTTATAAGGAGTCTTTACTAGCGTTCCTCTTGTAGAATCTGTGCAATTTTCATTGCACTAGGTTTTCACCTCAACTCAAAACGCTCCCCAGTTCTTTCTAGTCATTTCAGTATTCCCCGCCCCCCACTTGTTTTCTCCTGTCCCCTCAGGCAGTACCCACCCCCAGTCCACCCTCAAAAATTTATTTTCCCGTCTGAGGGAGATTCTTGCATTATCCCTTGAACCATCCTTGTTACTTAGCTTCTTTGGATCTATAAATTGTAGCCTGGTTCTCCTTTACTTTGTGGCAAATATCCACTTATGACTGAGTGTACACCATGTTTGTCCTTCTGGTTCTGGGTTACCTCACTCAGGATGATCTTTTCTAGTTCTGTTCTTTGCAAATTTTTTGACATCATTGATTTTTAACAGCTGAGTAATACTCCATTGTGTAAATGTACCATATTTTCTTTATCCATTCTTCAGTTGAGGGGCATCTAGGTTGTTTCTAGTTTCTGCTTATTGCAAGTAAATTGCTGTGAACATAGTTGTACCTTGTGGTATGGTAGAGAGTCCTTTGGATATATGCCCAGGAATGATATAGCTGGGTCTTGAGGTAGGTTGATTGCCAATTTTTTGAGAAGCCACCATTTTTATTTCCAAAGTGGCTGTATAAGTTTGTATTCCCAACAACAGTGTTTACCTTGCTCCACATCCTCTCCAGCATGAGCTGTCACTCGTGTTTTTGATCTTAGCCTTTCTGACAGGTGTAAGATGGAATCTCAAAATCATTTTTATTTGCATTTCCCTGATGGCTAAGGATCAACATTAAAATCTTAATACAAGCAAGCAATGCCTATTGTTATACCCAGATTTCAGAGTCCCCCCAAAGCCAGCAAGGAGACCGAGTCCCATACATAAAAGTAAGAGCCTTTATTCAAGTTTGAACTCTGACTCTCCATGCATCCAATGCATTGGCATGATCAGAGAGCCCCTAGCTCAGTTGGAGTGGGGTTTTTATAATAGCAGAGGTTGTGGTGAGGGATTTCTCAAGTTCAGGACCTGTGAATGGCTGACATTTGTCTAGGGGTGCCCTGGTGAAAGGGGATGGGTATGTGTTGGGCTAAGAGACTCAGGTTGGGACACTGGGGATTTCCTTTGGAACATTAGGTGTTCTCCCTTTGGATGGTCCATTCCTGCGTGGTCTCGGTAACCTGCAACTCAGGCCTCTGTTCCGCTTGCCGTGCTGGGCCCTACACATGTGTAGAAGTAGATGGGGTGGTAAAGAAAAACGTGAACAGTCAGATCAGCACCGTAGTTTTCTAAGTTGCTTCCTGCTGCCTGGGTGAGAGTGTAAAGAGCCTCTTCCGTGTGCTTTCTTCATCCATATTTTCTCATAGGACATCTTTTAGACATTTTTCCACTTTATGAATATTCTTACATTCCTTGGGGCGGTCTTAGCAGTAATTACTGAAATGATATGCTCTTGAAATAGGTGACCAGGTTGTTTTCTGTATCCGGAGAGTCAGCTGTGAAGAAACCTAGGAGTTCTCCCAGTAAGGTGGAGAGTTTCTGTCTGTGACCTAAGGGGAATTGCTGTAAAGGAAGGGGGACGCTGTGTCCTATTGGGACGCGGCATCCCACTGTGGGTAGGAATCCACCAGAGACGTGTTAGCACACCGAGAGGCAACTTTAAAACTGTTAATTCCCAAGCCTGGCTGAAGGACAGACCAGTGGCAGTTCTTGTCTGTGTGTCTGTCTGTGTGTCTTCACTACAGTGAACAACTAGTGTTTCTAGTTGTTCTTTACCTGGATCAAGAGTCAGCACATCACCAGCCCTGGGCCATGAGCAGCCAGCTTTTGTGGAAGAAGCTTCCCAGGAGCCCAGTCACGCTCAACAGCGTTAGCCAGTGGTCATAGACGTCCCATGACCAACTCTGAAAATATTCCCTGTCGGGCCATTCTCAGGAAAATGCTCCCAATTTTAAAGGAATATGCTCAAGATGAATTTTTGTTCTGTTTCCTCAAAATGGTTTTTTGCTCTGCTTTTTCTTGCCCTAACTCCTCAGGGCACCAGCCTTTCCTGTGTGGTTACTATTGGAGGGAGAGCCGCTTGTTCTTCTTGGCCACCTTAGACCCGAAATAATCACACAGAAACTAAAATAATTAAATTACTGCTTGACCCATTAGTTCTAGCTTTTTACTGGGTAACTCTTATATTAATTTAACCCATTTTTATTAATTGTGTATCACCATGTGGCAGTGGCTACCGGCAGAGTTTCTGACTCTGGCAGTGGCTCCATGGCGTCCCTCTGACTTCGCCTTCTTCCTCCCATGCTATTGGCCAAGCCAGTTTCTTAATTCATTAACCAATAAAAGCAACACATAGGCAGAAAGACCCCCCCCACCAAGTCACTACCTTCATTTTTCTTACATGTTTGCTTTTATCTTCCATCTCAGTAGACTATTTCTTGCTGTGATTTCCCTGGTGCTTATTTATACAAATAGTGTACATTTTCACCTTAATCTGAGTAAAAACAATTGGAAGGTTATGTTACCAAAAAATTAAAATATTAAGCAGTATGTCTTTCTCTTTACCTTTTTGGACAGGAGTATTAATGAGGGAAATTTAGTATTCAAATTTTATTCCTTCTGACTTCTTCAGAAAATAGAAAACTCAATCTCCTAGAGAACTTGTGAACATTAGAAATAATAATTTCATGGCAGCAGAACATTTTTGCTTTTGTTTTATTTTGAGGTGGTCTTGTTATGTATCCCAGGCTAGCCTTGAGCTCCCTTTATAGCTGAGGATGAACCTGATTTATGACCTTGCCGCTTCTCACTCCAGAGTGCTGGGTGTGGAGGGGTGTATGCCTCCTGCCGGGCTTGTGTGGTGTTGAGGATCAAACAGCCCCAGGTCTTCGAGCATGCTGGGCAAGCACTGTTCCCACTGAGCTACAGTCCTGCTCCCAGAATATCTATTTTAATCAGTTTTATTTGGTTGATACGATTGCACGAATGTTGAAATTGGAACACCAGTATTCTTAATCCATGAAGGGAAGAAAAGGAGAGCGTAACACGCAACCGCTAGCACAGATCTCTACCTGTGTCTGGTAGGAGCAACTGGATTCGTGCCGGATTTGTTTTGAAACTTTAAAAAGTATAGAATAATATTTATACATACATATATATGCATATATCTATATAAACACAATTTAACATCTTAAGGCCGTGACATCAAGTACATTTCCGTCCATTTGCAACCATCTCCTCCATCCATCTTGACAACTTTTTTATCTTGCAAACCTGAAACTCACTGCCATTGAAAATTATTTCTTCCCCTTATCTTTCTTCCACCACCTGACAGCTGCTCCTCCACTTCCTGTGTGTGTGTGTATGTGTGTGTGTACGTGTGTGTGTGACCACTCTTCTCCACTTCCTGTCTGTATGTGTGACTATTCTGTG